GCATCCATGCTGGGGTACTGGCATGCTTGATCTTATGTCACAATCCCCATGAGTTCATGTGTGTAACTGCACTCTGTTTCTCTGCAAACAACTGTTCTCTCTGGCTCAACAATCCTTCTATCCCCTCTTCCTTGATGATCTTTTAGTCTTAGGGATTTGTAGTAATATAAAATTGTAGAGTCCTAAAGTACTACCCAAGCTCCAATACATGGTCTCATACCCATGGGCACACAGTCAGGCCTATATGGAATCAGTGGCTATTAAACAACAACAACAAAACACATGAAATGTGGAGGAAAGCATTATGGAGGATATAGTAGAAGAACTGGAGGTGAGGGAATGGGGTGAGGATTTGTTCAAAACACTTTATATAGTATGTATGAACATTAAACAAAAAAGAAAGTACAGGGGCTAGACAAATAGTTATTGGTTAAGAGACTATTCTGCTCTTGCAAAGGGCACAGTGTTTGGTTCCTAATATACACATTAGGTGGCTTATGACTGTCTGTAACTGCAGTTTCAGGGAGATTCATCACCTCTGGTTTCTGTGGGCACCTGCATACATGTGCATGTACCTACACATAAACACATGAGCACAATATTTAAAATAATAAAAAAATCTTTTTATAAATTGAAAAGTTAAAAAAAGAGTTCCATACATTACATCTGTGGGATAAGTAGTGCTGGTACTATTTTTCATTCTTACTTTAAGGATGTGAAAACAGACACATTGGAAGAAGCTTTTGCAAATGATAAAGCCATTAAACCAAGAAACAGGGAGAGTACTTATAAATCTGAATTCTAACAGGGAAAAACTTGCTTAATATCAGGGGTCAGAAGAGTAACTCTCTGAGGCACCAGAGTTTTCTAGGACACGTTTACTTGCACTCTGCCCAAGTACTCCCACACTCATTAAAAGTTACTACAAACAGAATGTGTTCACAGGTCCAACAATTTCACCATGTAGCCTTTACAAGAGTGTAGGTTAACTGAGCTCATGAACTCATGTAGGGAAGGTATTACAAATAACTCTGATGTGTTACAACAGAGCCATTTCATCACCAGGAAATCAGAGGAAGAAAACAAGATAACAGGAGAAACAAATATTACAAAAAATTCCTCCCAAAATTATCCATTCCCCAAAATGACCTCCAATCAGAATGGATTAGATGAAATACCAAAGACCTCAAATGAATGATTATATGTATTGCCAACAAAATTAAAGAAGAAAATTAACCCCACAATAAATCACATGATGACACAAAGAAACAGTTAAATGAAAAGGAGAAAGTGAATTAAACAAACGTGAAAGAGGAATTCAGTGAAGATCATACTGAAATGCTTGAAGGGAACACATTCAGTGTAACAAAGGGCTTTGTGGAAAGGCTTGCCAATAAAATGTATCAGGGCAGACTTTGAGCTTGAAGACAAGATAGCAAAATTAGAACATTCCAATGAGTAGAGAGATGGACTGGGCTTTTACCCATGTGGGTGCTGGGAAGCAAACCAGGGTCCTCTGAAAAAGCAGCAAATGCTCTTAACTTCTGAACCATCCTTCCAGTGCCCCTCCCTTTCTCCCTTAATTTTGAGACAGAGTGGCATTATGTATCCCTCACTTGCCTGGAATTCACTATGTTGATCAATATAGCCTCAAACTTACAGAGCTTGCTTCTGCCTCCCAAGTGTTGGGATTAAAGGTATGCACTAACACTCCAGAGAGGGGCAAAATTCTCAAGGGGAAAAATTTAATCCAGAAAAGTTTGGGATTGAGCATTTCAACTTTTGAAACACACTAGGAAACTAGATTATTATAACAAACACAGAATTTTTTCAGTCATGATAAAGAAAGAAAAGAAAACATTCTATAAAAATGATATCAAATCCACTAAGCTACAACTACATAAGATTCTGGAAGGTACCCTTCACATTGAAGAGAAATGTAAATACATCCATTAGGTCACTGGCAAGAATAAATAAACTATACATGAGTGAAAGTTAAGCAAGAGAGGAGCAGGATAACACCAAACAAAATCCAAAAAAGAATTACACAACTTTCAACAACAACTATTATTATTATTATTTTCAATTGCCCCATCTTGGACTAATCAGGGGCTGCAAAGATTGCTCAATGTTTAAGAGCAATGGCTTCTTTTCCAGTGAACTCAGGTTCCATTTCCAGGATGCACATGGTAGCTCACAACCATCTGTAACTCCATTTCCAGGAGTTTCAATACTCTTTCTGTGCTCCATGGACATCAGAAGTGCAAGTGGTATATAGATGTACATGCAGGTATAACACCCACTCATATAAAATACAAGCATATAAAATTAAAAATTAAACACACATACTTATAAAAATGGATGCAAAGGCAGGAATAAGGCAAGGGAGAATGATGCATAGTGTACTTTCCAGGTGTTTCTGAAAACTTGAGTTCAGATATTGAGACCCCAGAATGCTAGGTGGGCTTGATAGCCCATCAACAATTCAACAACATAGAAAGTGGAGACTGGGCAAATTCAGGGCAAATTAGCCTGCACAAGCAAGTTCTCAGTTCAACTGATAGACTCTACCTCAGTGAATAAAGTGAAGAATGATGGATGGAATTTTCTGATGCCAACCTTGGGCATACAAATGAATGCCAACTTATATGCACATGCACCTCTCCCCACAAGCAACACAAACACATGTGAACAACACACACACACACACACACACACACACACACACACACACACACACACACACACACACATCTTCCCAATAATGGGTATAGAAACAATCTTGCATCAAAGAAAAGTGTCTTGTCTTAAAAGACAGGCACTCCCTTAGAATGAAAGGACTGAAAAAAAAAAACGTTTCTCTCTGAGGAAATGGAGCTAAAAATAAGCAGACATCACTGTTTCAATTGATGACAGTTTTGGTCCTTGAGGAATGAAAACGTGGCTTGGCGATTAAGAGTGAGCACTTGCATTTTGCCTACAGGGGACATGGGTTGAGTTTTTAGAACATAAGTGCTAATAAATCTTTATTATAAATAACATGTATACTCAGGGGTTAAGAGTACTAGCTGCTCTTGCAGAGAACCTGGGTTCAATTACTAGCACCCACATGGAGGCACACACTCATCTGTAACTCCAAGTTCTTTAGGCAATACATGCATGTGGTGCACAGACATAAATGCAGATAAAACACCCATACACATGAAATAAAAATAAAGAAATAAATGTAAAAAAATATGAAAACTTGTGGTATGTTGGGAACACAGTCTAAGAAGGCTGTTTATGCTTCTAAGTGCCTAAATTTAGAAGTCACAGAGGCCTCAAATAAATGGCTTAATGATACAACTTATAGCACTGGAAAAAACATAACAAACACCAAATCAGTAGGAAAAATACAAAGAAAAAGAGAAATAGGTGGAAGGTAAAAGTTAATGAAATATAATTGGGGAAAAACAATACCAAGAATCAATGAACATCCAGTTCTTTGAATGGAAAATCATCATCAATAAACCCTTAGACAAAGCCACCAAAGGAAAGTGAAAATGCCCAAGGTGATAAACTAGACATGACATCATGAAGATCCAGGAACATAAAATCCAGATCATTATAAAGAAAATCTGAAAACCGTTATTTCATTAAATTCAAAATTTTAGAAAAGAAGTATTGTGGTGGTATTGTGTTCCCCAAAATATTGTGCACACTAATAAACTTATCTGGGGTCAGAGACAGAATAGCCACAATATTAAACATAGAGGATAGGCAGTGGTAGCACACACCTTTAATCCTAGCATTCCAGAGGCAGAAATCCATGTGTTCAAGGATACAGCCAACCATGGTGACTCACGCCTTTAATCCCAGAAAGAGAGCCTTTAATCCCAGGGAGTGATGGCAAAAACAGAAAGATATATAAGGCGTGGAAACCAGAAACTAGAAACATTTGGCTGGTTAAGCATTTGACTGTTAAGCTTCTAGCAGCAGTTCAGCTGAGATTCATTCAGATGAGGACTCAGAGGCTTCCAGTCTGAGGAAACAGAATCAGCTGAGGAATTGGCAAGGTGAGGTGGCTGTGGCTTTTTCTGCTTCTCTGATCTTTCAGAGTTCACCCCAATAACTGGCCTCAGGTTTGATTTTATTAATAAGTACCATTAATATTCATGCTACAAGGTATGGATTTCTAGAAACATTTATATACCATAATGAAAGCAGTAATTAGAGCAGATCAGAAACAAGAAGAGGTAATATTGAAAGAGCATTTTTTTTAAATCTCCTTACATAAAAAATGAGAGTATAAATGGAGTGGTTCCCTGGTGAATTTTACAAGATCCTCAAAATATATGATATCCTTGTATATCATATATTTGCATTATGATTCACAACACTACCAAAATTAAAGTTATGAAGTAGCAAGGAAAATAACTTTATGGTTAATGGTCTCCACAACATGAGGAACTGTATTGAAGGACGGCAGTATACGAAAGATTGAGAACCTCTGTCTTGAAGAGAATGTTTCAAATAGTACTTCCTGAGTCTTCTTCCAGAAATGGATGTATGAACTCATAGGAAATTGTTACACAGCACACTTGTAGCTGCAGGGATTCAGTCAATAGTCTGAGGTTCCCTGTTTCTTGAGAATAAGGGGGACATGGTGAGGCTGGTGATTAGCTCTTTCTCCCTGGAAGATGAATTATCCCAGAAGAAGGAAGGCAGCTAGAAGAGGAGCCTGGCAGTGCATTTATGGTGAAGCAGGAATTGAGTGAACAGTAGGGCAACTCCTGGACGTTTTTGAGAATCGAGACTGAAAACCTATATTCTTACAGTCACTGAAATGCTAGCATATTGGGGAGACTCTGGATATACAGACTGCAAGAGAGCATGGTTCAAAGCAGAAGTTGCAACTAGAGTCCTCCAAATGTCATAAACTTGACCCTGCACAACATATGGACACACTAGATCTGATTGTTCTCCAAGTAATGGATATTCTGTGGTCCTTTCTCTTCCAGATCAACTTTTTTGGTGACAGCTGCATATGAGATAAGACAAAGAATCAGGGAAAATATCAGACATTGGAAGAGACAGGAGCCCTTCATCCAGGAATTTGCTTAAATTCTCTCTCTATTTGAGAGTCAATAATTCCAGTACAATTAACTATCGCCTAAGACCTTTCTCCTTTCCCAGTTATTAACTAACAGTTTAATAATTTCACTAGAAATGCCACTTACAATAAAAGACATGTTGTAAACGCCTTCTTGCTCATCTTTCTACATTAACCATCCATCCTTGTTATCCCATCCAAAGCACTTCCACCATACACTCAAACTTATAGGAGAGAAAATGTAGGCTGAGGAGATTGCTCAGTGGGTAAGGCACTTGCTATGTTTGAAGTACAGAGGTAGATATAGACACAAATCCTGGGGTCTTCTTGATCATCTGGTGTGATATTTTATTTGTGCTGAAATGTGATATTTTATTTGTACGTTAATAAATAAAGTTTGCCTGGAGATCAGAGGTAATAGCCAGCCATTAACATAAAAGTCAGGCAGTGGTAGCACATGCCCTTAATCCGATTACATGGTAGGCAGGGTCTCTATGTGTTCAAGGAAACAGCCAAGTGCCTTTAATTCCAGTACCAAACATAGAGACCTGGAGGTCTGTACAGACAGGCAGTGACAAGGAAGTGAGGTAGTTGGACTAGGAGCCAATGAGAGGGCAGAACAGCAAAGCAATAAAAGCTTGGCTAGACAGGAATTAGTTCTCTTAGAAATCTACAGGAGTGTGGTGAGTTAAGGTTAGCTGGTGGCTCTATTTCCCTGGTCTCTAAGGCTTTCACCCCTATATTTGGTTCTGTGTTTCTTATTTAATAAGACCGTTTAGAAATTTGTCTACAATCTAGTCCTGCCTAAATGATAAAGTCCAGGTTCACTAAGAGACCTTTTCTTAAAAATTCATGAGAGAAATAGTGGAAGATACTGGACGCTAATAGCCTGGCTTTTACACATGCACACACAAGTGAATATACAAAATATGTACCTGCATCCACATCCCCCACCCTCTATATGAGGCAGGGAGAGTACCTCTATCTCAAAGCTGTTATTGAAAATTTAGTGACATGTAAACCAAGACAAGAGAAATACATGTCTCTGCAAGCTGGCTAGCAAAAGTGAAGCAAATTTTAATAGGCTGTTGTGCAGAAAGGGACATCAGCATAAAGAAAAAGAAAAATGGCTGCCATAATGATGTGTCACAAGACAGTGGATTCATTTATTTATATATTTACGTATTTGATTTTTTGAGACAGAATTTCTCCATGTAAAGATCCAGCTGTCCTAGAACATACTTTGTAGACCAGGCTGCCCTCGAACTCACAGAGATCTGCCTGCCTCTACTTCCTAAGTGCTGGCATTAAAGATGTTGGCCACCACTGCCTGGCAAGACATCAGTTTTTTAAGTCATGAGGAATTTTTAAATTTTTTTTTAAACTTTTTAAGATCATGAGGAATTCTTTTTCTCTTTTTCCCATAGGCTTACACTTGACAGAGTCACAGTCTTTGTATTTTCCTTGCATAATCCCATTACCAAATGCTCTATCCTATTGGTTCAGGATGCCAATTTTATCATATATATATTAGGGAACTTGAGAATGTCTCATTTTTGCTCCTGGGTCCAGTCACCTAGCAGACTGCCTAAAACTTTTCAACACTCAGAATTCTGAAACCAGCATGTGTTAAACTCCCAACTGTGACAGAAAGAGACTAACTGCCCTGCGATGCATTAAGTGCACCTCATACTGAAAAGTCGCCATAATGGTTCATTTTCCTGTTGATCAAGACACCGAAAACTTCAGACACAGGACTAGGAATATTTGAGCTGAATTAGCCTAAAACTCTCCTCCCTGAGATCTAGCTTTCACAGTATCAGAAGGTGCCTTGCAAGATGCCAAGAGAGGGAAACAACTAAGAGTCCTACATAGCTGTGATGCTTATGAACCACAACATAATCAGCATGGCAAAATATTCCAAGGGTACAATAGTGATATTCGTGTCTTTGTGGTAACCAACAGCTGTCTAAGTGGACTCAAGTCCTGCTTCACAGGAAGGAAATCATGTCTAGTACTGGAATCCTAGGCATTTACCCATGGCTAGTGAGGTCATGAGTCTTAGAGGAGAACGTACTGTGGTCACGTCACTAGAGCAACATATTTCCTAACTGCTTCTAAAACATATCCTTATACTAAGAGATTAGTGTAGGTATCACCCCACATCAAAGAAGGTACTCTTTGCAACAAACTGAGATGATTATAGAAAACTACAACTAGTCAAAATGCAGATATTAATTGATTGTGAGGTGCCCAGTCCTAATGGAGACATCTACAACATAACTTCTGCACTTCTGGTTCACAGAACCAAGAAATCTATTGTAAGATTTGTGTCTCCTAGAAATGATTGGAAAGTTATTTCCACTAGAAACCACAACAGTATGGCTACCTAAACAAGATGTAAACCATGGTAATATCCATAGACATATTAACATGAAAAGGGGCAATTTTGCAGAACCCCTCCCATAAATAAAAAAACTAGAGGTAATTAATGACTGGTGAGGAGGAATAATTAGTTTATTCCAGGGATTTGTTCCATAATTGGCTATTCAATGCAAAGTAATCAGCCCTTAAATCATACACACCCAGGCCACACTAAATGGACTCAGGTAGCTGTATTTATATATATATATATATATATATATATATATATATATATATATATATATATATATATATATATATATAATAAAGTAAAAGAAGCCATCAACTTGAGAGAGTGAGAAGTGGAAATTGGAGAAAAGATGTAATTAAATTTCAACTAAAATATAAAAATTATAAAGAATTATTTGGAATCTCATTCATTCTCTGGAAAGGCTTCTACTTAACATTTAAGGTTTCACTTTATCCTGAAGCAGAGGAGAGCCTCTGATAATATTTGATAATATTTTTTTTCTCAAGACACTTTCTATCCTGGAATTCACTTTGTAGAGCAGCCTGATGTCAATTTCAGAGAACCAACTGCCTCTGCCTCCTGAGTGCTGGGATTAAAGGTGTGTGCCACTACCCACCCAGATTTTTTTAATGTGCATTGATAATATCATCTTTGTTTGAATATAAGACAGTCTTCATTTCACATTGTGATACTTGAACATGAGAGTTTTCATCTATAATCTAGTGATAGACTTTGTCTCATCCAAAAATCACCATTAAAGTTATAACATACCCTTTGATTGATGGCAGCCAAAGTTGGCACCTGTGTTCAGAACTTGTGGTGGTTTGAATAAGAATGGTCCATAGGCTTATATATTTGAATGTTTAGTCATCAGGGAGTAGACTACATGAGAAAGATTAGGATGTTTGGCTTTTTGGAGAAAGTGTGACCTTGTTGGAGGAAGTGTGTCACTGGTGGTGGGCTTTGAGGTTTCAAAAGCCTAAGCCAGGCCCAGTGTCTCTCTCTCTCTCTTCCTGCTGCCTGTGATCCAGTTGAAGAACTCTCAGCTACTTCTTCAGCACCACATCTGCCTGCATGCCACCATGTTCCCCACCATGATGAAAATAGATAATGATAAATAAACCTCTGAAAAAGTAAGCAAGACCCAAATAAATGCTTTCTCTTATAAGAATTGCTTTGGTTGTGGTGTCTCTTCACAGTAATGGAACACTCACTAAGACAGAACCTTCACCACAGAGACATATCATTTCATAAGAATGCTTGGATCCTTTTACTGTATCATTTTTACTTCCTCAATATGCTTCTAACTGTAACACTTCCATGATAATTTTTAATAATACTTTTTAACACAAAACTTTTATTGTTTACTTACTATTATAAGACCAGGACATCAGGGAAAAAAGAACAAAAGAATAAAATGTCATGAACCTATAACTTCGGAGAATTCTCTGAATAATGCCTAGAATATTTCTTTATCATTTTTAGGAAAAATTGTAAAAAAATATTTAATGGTAGTCTTTGTTGTATTTATATACAAATGTACTTCTCTGTCAATACCTTTGCTTTGAACTGTATATTCAACAGTCAAATACCATTCTACAGTATGCATAAGTTGTATTATTTTCTATGGAGTTCCAGAGCTTAAAGGACTAAATAGTATTGCACCTTTGTGCTTTATTTAATTGTCTACTCTGGATGTACTTAAAAGTCATGACTCTTGTCCTACTGAAACCTACTTATATATCTAATTCTACACACCTGTTCTTGGTAAGTACATTGCTTTTAGTCACACATTTGGTTAGAGCAACAAGAAAAGAGACTAAAACAGGTAGAGGGTGTCTTCTGAATCCATGAAAATAAACTAAAAAAGTACAGCAGCACAGATCTATGAATAAAGTACACCTTCTCATGCAACACTCTGAAAGAGCAAACTTTACTGAACACAACTCCTGTGCACACAGCACATTACAAGTGAACAAAGATGTCAGTCTCCATTAACTGCATCATAAGCAGATTTTATACATCATTGGGTATTTAGAAACAATGATATTCTTACATCCCCTACATAACATTATCAAGATCAAACAGTGCTCCGACCGGTTCTGCTGTTCACCTCTCAGGTGTTCAAATGCAAACCAAAACATTATGTGGGCACATCCCCAAATTACTATTAGACCCTTAGCAAAACTATTGCCTCAAGAGAAAGACATCTCTGGTTCCAAGACATAATGGTAAAAGTTGACCTGAAAATAATAGTGTTAGTTTTTAACAATGTAACCACAACCCCCGTGTTAACAACATGCACACAGATAATCTTCAAGCTGGACTTGTAGTTGTATCCTTCCAGACATGGAAAGGAATGAGAAAAACTGGGTCTGTAGAGACAGCTCAGCAGCAAGAGCACTGACTACTCTTCCAGAGTACCTGGGTTTGAATCCAGTACCCACATAGCTGCTCAAAACCATCTGTTACTCCTATTCCCCAGATCCAACTCCAACTTCTGGCCTTTTGGGCACCAGGCATGAATACTGTGCACAGACATACATACAGTCAAAACATCTATACACATAAAATATTTTTAAAAAGAGAGCAAAACCATATTTTAGCCTAGAGATGCCTCCCAAGGCTAACAAGAAGCCAAGAAAAGGGAGATTGGAAAAGGTGCAGGGAGGCCATTTCTTTAAGTGTATGGCTGTCAGGGTCATAAGTATTTTGTTGAACACTGGTCATCCTTTGAGAAGAATTCATTTTATCA